TCCAGACAATCACATTGGCTGATCTGGAAAGAATTTATGTGCAAATTATGGTGGAAAATAAGTATTTGGTGAATATGAAAAGTTCCTCTCAATACTTTGTTATATATCCTTTGTTGGCAATGACAGAGGTCAAACGTTTCCTGTAAGTCTTCACAAGGTTGGCACACACTGTTGCTGGTATGTTGGCCCATTCCTCCATGCAGATCTCCTCTAGAGCAGTGATGTTTTGGGGCTGTCGCTGGGCAACACGGACTTTCAACTCCCTCCAAAGGTTTTCTATGGGGTTGAGATCTGGAGACTGGCTAGGCCACTCCAGGACCTTCACATGCTTCTTACGAAGCCACTCCTTCGTTGCCCGGGCGGTATGTTTGGGATCATTGTCATGTTGGAAGACCCAGCCACGTTTCATCTTCAATGCCCTTGCTGATGGAAGGAGGTTTGCACTCAAAATCTTACGATACATGGCCCCATTCATTCTGTCCTGTACATGGATCAGTCGTCCTGGTCCCTTTGCGGAGAAACAGCCCCAAAGCATGATGTTGCCACCCCCATGCTTCACAGTAGGTATGGTGTTCTTTGCATGCAACTCAGCATTCTCTCTCCTCCAAACACGATGAGTTGTGTTTCTACCAAACAGTTCTATTTTGGTTTCATCTGACCATATGACATTCTCCCAATCCTCTTCTGGATCATCCAAATGCTCTCTAGCAAACTTCAGATGGGCCCGGACATGTACTGGCTTAAGCAGGGGGACACGTCTGGCACTGCAGGATCTGAGTCCCTGGCGGTGTAGTGTGTTACTGATGGTAGTCTTTGTTACGTTGGTCCCAGCTCTCTGCAGGTCATTCACTAGGTCTCCCCGTGTGGTCCTGGGATTTTTGCTCAGCGTTCTTGTGATCATTTTGACCCCACGGGGTGAGATCTTGCGTGGAGCCCCAGATCGAGGGAGATTATCAGTGGTCTTGTATGTCTTCCATTTTCTAATTATTGCTCGCACAGTTGATTTGTTCACACCAAGATGCTTGCCTATTGCAGATTCAGTCTTCCCAGCCCGGTGCAGGTCTACAATTTTGTTTCTGGTGTCCTTCGACAGCTCTTTGGTCTTCACCATAGTGGAGTTTGGAGTGTGACTGTTTGAGGTTGTGGACAGGTGTCTTTTATACTGATAACAAGTTCAAACAGGTGCCATTGATACAGGTAATGAGTGCAGGACAGAGGAGCCTCTTAAAGAAGAAGGTACAGGTCTGTGAGAGCCAGAAATCTTGCTTGTTTGTAGGTGACCAAATACTTATTTTCCACCATAATTTGCAAATAAATTCTTTCCAGATCAGCCAATGTGATTGTCTGGATTTGTTTTCTCATTTTGTCTGTCATAGTTGAGGTCTACCTATGATGCCAATTACAGGCCTCTCTCATCTTTGTAAGTGGTAGAACTTGCACAATTGGTGGCTGACTAAATACTTTTTTTGCCCCACTGTATCTAGCAATCTTTTTGCTCGTCACCTTCATCTTATGTTCCCTTCAATGTTTCCAAATATAATTGTCTCTTCCGGTGACTTGGTTCTTTTTATACATAGTATGCCCAGAGTAAGACAGCTTCAGTCTACTTATCTGGGCTTCTAGTGAACGGTTGGCCTCAATTTTTTGAAGGATCCATTTGTTCGATTTCCTTTCTGTCCATTATATTTAATGAATTCCAAAATGCATAGGCATAAGTGTTTTTTATTAGCTTGCTTCTTTATTGTCCGGCATTCACATCCATATGACAGAAAGTACCATAGCATGGGCACTTCTGCCCTTTGTTCTTAAGGACTCGTTACAGTTGAGGATCTCTTCTAGGTAACCTCTGTTTCTATACTATTTCATCACCTGCTTAGTACGCACATACCCCGTTTGTGACAGCTTCACTTTAAATAAGTATGAATGCTTTGGTTATTGCCAGCTTACATATCTTATGAGCAATATCAGGGCTTTTAGCACTCAACTGATATATACTTAAAAATTGAAATGTGTTCTATTAATAACATATACCAGCCTAAGACATCTTTATACGCAATGTTCGTCTAATAAGTAGCACTTGGAGAGACGAATGTATGTATAACAGCAATTTCTGCAAGAGATGCTTGAACCTGACAGCAACAGTCAGCTATTCCTCGCTGTCTTCACAAACTAGGCTACATCAGAACCGGAGGCTATGCTTAAAGTGATTTATAATAAAGCTAAAAGGGCTCCATCAGGCACTGCGATAATATTCAACATGTTGTGTTCAGTTAATGTGTTCGGAAAAGACCTGGAAACCTGAAACATAATGAATGAAGGCACTTAGAGACACCACAAGGTGCCTGCCATTTGACTTTGTTGCCGTTATTTTAGTTGACAATTTCACTCAACAAATAAGTGAACTTTCCCATGTAGAAGCATCCATAGATGATTAAAGCCCAGCTGTAGGCAAATGAATTATTAATTGCTCGATTTGATCTAGGGTAGGGGTATTGAATTAAAATTCACAGAGGTCCAATCAGAAATTTTTTTTTTTACATGTTTGTGCAATGTTTTAGATCCTTCCCATCACAGCCCCCTCATTTTATATCACAACCCTGTTCTCACATCAGCGTACTCCTTTCCCCTTCATTAGATACATTAGTATCCACTGCCGCTTTACATCAAACCCCCCCCCCCCCAGTACTGCACCTCTTTTAAATTTCCCCTCACAGCACTGCCCCCCTCATATATCCCCCAGAGCACTGCCCCCCCCCCCCTTACATCTCTACCCCCACCCCCTACAGTACTGTCCCTTTTATATGCCGCCACACAGCACTGCCTCCCTTTACATCTTTTCCCCACATACAGCACTTGCCCCTCCCATTACATCTCCCCCCCCCTCACAGCACTGCCCCCCCCCCCTTTACATCACTCCCTCCCCTTTATATCACTCCCTACCACCACCACGCACAGTACTGTCCCCCTTCACATCCACAGCACTGCCCCCCTTCACATCACCCCCCACAGCACTGCTCCCCTTTCTCATCACCCTCTCCCCCTCCCACCACAGTAATGTGCTCTGCCCCCTTTTCATCTGCCATCCCCTTTACCCTCCCCACACACACAGCACTGTAGCCTTCATGTCACCCCCTGACTCTCCTCCACCTGTCTTTACAGCTCTGTCCTTTTGCCTTCTTTACATACAGCGGAGAGTGGTTGAGAGGTACAGCAGCATTGGATGGAGGGCGGGAGGAGGGGGCTGCCAAGGTTAACTTTTCCTATTAACAAGCTGGTGATTGGTTGTTAGGGCCACCCGGTGTCCTAGCAACCATTTTCCTGCTAATTAATCTGAAAAGTAAACTTATGCAGTTCCCAAACCAGCCCTCCATCCAGTGCGGCTGTGCCCCCCACTCTCTGTTCATTGCTTTCCCCTGTCTCCTGCTCTCCGCACTGCCTTAAAAATGACAGTGGCAGAGGCCAGGGTAAAGGATGGCTCCTAAATGGCACAACATGGGGTCCGGATGGGACAGCGGCTCGGTCTGGATCCAAACTGTGGTACGCCATTTACGATGCCTGATCTAGGGGAACAATAAAAGCAAATATATTTACCCGAGCCTCGGCTCCTCCCTGCAGCTAAACTAGTCCTGCACCCTCTGCATCGGTCTAGAGTCCTGACGTCATCAAGACCAGAGCAGGGTCTATAGCCTTGCTCTGGATGTGAGGATGCCAAGAGGCAGTCATAAGAAATTGGAGGATCAGATAAGTAAAACTATTCTCCCCTTGAGCAAAGAGCTATTTACCCTTTTAGTGTGGCACAGCCTGCCCACAATGGAACACCTTTTCCTGTGTCAGCTGTCAAAGGCAAGTCTTCCTTTTACTTTGAGGGCATTTCCTCTCAGTACTTGTGTTCTAGGCCAGGAAGTGAGGTTGAAATCTCCCTCTAGAAATACAAATGATAAAAATGTATTTTAACCCTTATGCACTTTGTCAAAAAAAGCAGGACGATTCAGACTGAGAAGTTTAAAATGCTTAGGTAGAAGTTACCTTTGGTGAAAATGGAATGCAAAAATGATCCGTAGGTCCACTAATATAGATAGCTAGGTATCAGCAAATAATGTAAAACGTAAAAGATGAGCGTGGCACCACCTTCTCCAAACTCCTGAAACTTCCTATTGGTGTTTTTTAATAATATTATTATAAAAAATTTATATAGCATCAGCAGTTTACACAGCTCTTTACAATATATAGAAAGACAGTACTGTACAGTTTCAATGCAGGAGGGTTAGGAGAGCCCTGCTCCTGAGAGCTTACAATGTAACAGGGAATAGCAAGTGGAACAAAAGGTAATGGGAGAAATAAAAGATTCAGTTGTTTAAAGTAGGATAGGCTTCCCTGAAGAGATGAGTTTTCAGGGATCGCCTAAAAGTTGACAGAGTAGAAGAAAGCCAGACAGATTGGGGTAGAGTGTTCCAGAGGATGGGAGAGGCTCTGGAGAAGTCTTGAAGACAAGCATGGGAGGAGGAGTCAAGGGAGCTAAAGAGCAGGGGGTCTTGGGAGAAGCAGAGAGTACAGTTTGGATGATATATGGAGACAAGACTGGTGATGTAGCTTAGAGTGGAGTTGTAAATGGCTTTGCATGTTGTTAGTATTTTTGAATTTTATTTGTTAGGCATTTGGAGGCAGTGGAGGGATTGGCAGAGAGAGTTGGTGGACATTGAGCGGTTGGTAAGGTGGATGAGTCTGGCAGCCATTTTCGAAAACAAAAGAAATGCTTCTCTGAAAAGAAATCTTGTATTACTTACATATCACGCCCCCTTTGTTCTTTTTAAAGTGTTACTAAACCCAGCACCCTGCATTCAATATATCTGGTCTCCCACAGTACACAGAACATGGAAGTGCAATTATTTTAGTATACTTACTGCTAAATACCTTTTCTCATCAGAAGTTAGAGCAGTCTTGTGACTTCTATCAGTGTCCAGCAGAGCACATGTTAAAGCTTGTAGGAGGAGTTTTCATTTTGTTCTAGGAGGATGCAGAACCCACGACCTCTGTCTGGAAAGTGCTGATTGACCCTGTGCTGATCACATGCACTCTCCCAAGACAAAAAAAAAAAAACTTCTCTAGCAATACACACAACACTGAACATGTGCAGAGTGACTCCACATGATATGTGTTATCAGGAGATAAGAGGGGGGGCACTATAAGAAGGAGAGGATCACAGAAGTCAGGATCAAACATCGTTTTTACACAGTGCGAAGGATTAACCCCTTAGGTTCCACAGTGAGTATAACAAGCATGCTTTACTGCATATACTGACTGATATTACTGTTGTGGTTTTAGTAACACTTTAAGAGCAAACTTCGTATCTGGTGTTGGATGTCCAGGCCCCAGGCCCCCTTTACACACTGTGGTTCCTTCCACTGGACCCTACATCACTACCGTGTCCTGTAATGATGGAGCCAACAGATGAAACTACAACGCTCAAAGAAGCGCTAGGCCTCTTATACAAAAATTCTTCAGCTAGCTTAGCTCTTCAAGAGATAAAGATTGGTAGCATGGGGACAGATATTATATTTGTTGGGAGACTTTTTTTTTTTGTTAAACATTGTCTCTTTAATTTACTAGAATTGAGTCTTAGGAGGTGGGAGAAATAACCTCAGTTGAAGTATCTGGGTTTACTTTGACACGCATATGCTTCAACATTCATCCATTGTTCCATTTTATTATATTGTCTAATTTCTAATTTTACTATACTGCAGGTTTTTTTGATTCATTACCTTCAGCTACAGTGAATTTATAAACTGTTCATAACCCCCTTCACTTAGCCTGATGCTCATAATATTAATACAGCTGTTTAAATTCATATTTTTCTCATTAATCTACACACAGTACCCCATAATGACAAAGTGAAAACATATTTTTGAAATGTCTGTGAATTTATTAAAAAGAAAAAACTGAAATATCACATTATCCATTCAGCTTTCCCTCAGTCCTGCTCAGTCTCCCAGTCCCCGCTGCTGAAAAACACCCCCACAGCATGATGCTACCACCACCATTCTTCACTGTTGGGATGGTATTGGGCGGGTGATGAGCAGTGCCTGGTTTCCTCCAGGCATACTATTTAGAATTGAGGCCAAACAGTTCAATCTTGCTTTCATCAGACCAGAGAATCTTGTTCCCATCAGGTGCAGGTGCTTTTATTCAAATTCCAAGTGGGTTTTCATGTGTTTTGCACGAAGGGGCTTCTGTCTAGCCATTGTACTATAAATCCAAGATTGGTGGAGACTGCAGTGATGGTTGTTCTTCTTTAGTGGTTTGATGGTTGTTCTTCTTGGTCCCATCCCCACACAGGATCTCTAGAGCTCAGTCAGAGTGACCATTGGGTTCTTGGTCACCTCTCTTACCAAGGTCCTTTTCCCCTGTTGCTCAGTTTGACTGGGCGATCAGCCTCTCAAGAGTCCTGGCTGTGCCAAACTTCTTCCATTTAAGAATTATGGAGGCCACTATGCTTTTGTGAACCTTCAGTGCAGCAGATTTTTTTGTAGCCTTCCCCAGATCTGTGTCTTGCAATAATCCTGACTCTGATATCTGCAGGCATTTCCTTTGATACAGTATTCATAGCCAGCTGTAATGCCTTTTATAGGGAGGTGTGTGCCTTTCCAAATCATGTCCAATCAATTTAATTTGCCACAGGTGGGCTCCACTCAAGGTGTAGAAGCATCTCCACTACGATCAAGAAAAATTGGAGGCACCTGAGCTAAATTTCGAGTGTTGTTGCGAACAGTCTGAATACTTATGCCAATGTGATATTTCAGTCTTTCCTTTTTCATACATTTGCAAACATTTCTAAAATTCTATTTTCACTTAGTCATTTTGGATTACTGAGTGTAGATTATGAGTAAAAAATAAATGTAAACAGCTGTAGTATCAGGCTGCAACATAACAAAATTGTAAAAAGTGAAGGGGGTTTGAATACTTTATGAATGCACTGCAAGTGTCCTTCAAAGTTTCGAGGCAATTTGCCAAAGTAGAAAAACAAAAAAACACCACAGTATATAAAATAAATAAAAGTGAAGAGTGTAATTTAATTTCATAATTGATCTTTAATCTATATACTTCTATGTATGTAGTTGTTACGCCTTCCATATTCAATTAAAATATTAGAGGGGGCTGTTTACCGGTTGCCACTTCATCAGTGCTGGGCCCCCGTGTCTGATACCTCTAGCTGTGCCAAATTACACTCAGTGTGTTTCTGTTATTTCCATTCTTTTCCTCCCAGCCTGCCGCAAATAAAGATGCCATTACCGACTTGTTTGCTATAATTAATAAACAGTGTGATTGCTGCTCTGCACAGGATTTGTGTTTCTTCAGTCTAAACACAAATTAGTAGTAGTAGTATTAATATGAAAATCCACCTTGATAGACAGGAGGGAAGCAAAAGCCTGATCTCTTGTTCCTGGCGTGAACGTCTTTTATATTGTACAGCTTAAATTAAAGGTTAAAAAAAAAAAAAAAATGTTCCTGTTGCTGGCAATTGGGACTGTGGTTTGATTTAAGCAGAATCAACTTACAGGATCACTTCACCATCACTCCATTTGCAGCTTTGAATAGAAGTTGGCCTTTTTAATGACCAACTTTTGTTTTGCTTAATGATGCATGTCCTAATGGCATAGCACAGCATACTTGCACATTTTGGAAAGCGTACCCCTGCGTGCACCTTTTTCAACAGTGCATTGTCTGAAGTTCCCCAGCTTCACTCCATTGCCACTGCTGCCATCTTCTGCTCCTCTTTTATCAAGTCTAGTGTCTTCTTGCCTCAGCCATTTGGCTGCCATTGATGATGTAACTCATGGACATTTGTATTTGAGTTAACATTATCTCAGCACCCAGCCACAGTGACGGCATTCATTAGATGTTGGAAATGGACCTGGACTGTACATTATACTGTACATGTACCGCAGAAAGTGTACAGATAACAAAAATTTGTTAGAAGACAGGTTCTCTTCTACCATAAAACTCTTCCGGCATAATTTTGTTAACCAAGTTTAGTTTCACTTTATCGTTGCTGTAGACTAAAAAGAGAAATGCGGATTTACAAAAATACAAACATACATACTCGGCTACAGGGCTTGACAAATTTGCTTTGAATGTAGGAGCCAGCTAAAAAAAAGTTAGGAGCCAGGTTTTTTTTTTTTAGCGTAGCGTGGGTTGTCAGCGCCTGGGTCTTCACATGATGCGATAATCACGGCAAAACAACACCATGTTTTAGGTGCCATTGAAAATAGTGACACCTGAACCTGTGTTTTGTGATCACAGTGCTGGGAGGCATTTTCGCATTGAAGCCTGTGGGGCAGCGTTCTCCCATTGAAGCCTGTGGGGCAGCGTTCTCCCATTGAAGCCTGCGGGGCAGCGTTCTCCCATTGAAGCCTGCGGGGCAGCGTTCTCCCATTGAAGCCTGCGGGGCAGCGTTCTCCCATTGAAGCCTGCGGGGCAGCGTTCTCCCATTGAAGCCTGTGGGGCAGCGTTCTCCCATTGAAGCCTGTGGGGCAGCGTTCTCCCATTGAAGCCTGCGGGGCAGCGTTCTCCCATTGAAGCCTGCGGGGCAGCGTTCTCCCACTGAAGCCTGCGGGGCAGCGTTCTCCCATTGAAGCCTGCGGGGCAGCGTTCTCCCATTGAAGCCTGCGGGGCAGCGTTCTCCCATTGAAGCCTGCGGGGCAGCGTTCTCCCATTGAAGCCTGCGGGGCAGCGTTCTCCCATTGAAGCCTGCGGGGCAGCGTTCTCCCATTGAAGCCTGCGGGGCAGCGTTCTCCCATTGAAGCCTGCGGGGCAGCGTTCTCCCATTGAAGCCTGCGGGGCAGCGTTCTCCCATTGAAGCCTGCGGGGCAGCGTTCTCCCATTGAAGCCTGCGGGGCAGCGTTCTCCCATTGAAGCCTGCGGGGCAGCGTTCTCCCATTGAAGCCTGTGGGGCAGCGTTCTCCCATTGAAGCCTGTGGGAGGCAGTGTGTGAACCTAGACACCAATATGAAATTTCTAGTCGCCGTGGCAACCTGGGCCTGAGATTTGTCGAGCCCTGCTCACCTGGATGTCCCTTGCCGACTCTACACTGAGAACTGAGTAATCAAAGACCTCTGATTACTCAGTTCTCGGTCTTCAGTGAGTAGAGAGATGGTGACTGTTAGTCACCGGTTCTTTGCTCTATTCCTTCAGCGCTCACTGGAGCTCTAGGGCTGTGTGAAGGGGGAGGGAGTGGCTAATTCAGGCTCCCAGTGGCGCACTGAGAGGCTGAGCCAGCTGCTAGTCAGGCATCTGGGTAGATTGTCTTTAGCCCGGCTGGATCTGGGACATAGGTGTGCAGAGCTAAGTGCACTCCTGTGATCCACAGGAGAGGTATGGTAAAACAGCCTTTGGCCATACTTCTCATTTAATGTTCCCTGCATGGGCAAAGCAATAGATTCACTTTAATCCCCTCCAAAGCAGCACATACTCATCTTCCCTCAGCTCCTTCACTGCCCTGTTCAGAGGTTGGGAGCAGGAGAAGCTGTCATGTGTAAGTTACAAGTCCCTAAAGTTATATCCTACATAGATCTATTGACCCTTCCCATGTGATAAGAGTTGGTGATTGGCAGAACGCTGTTTCTATGACAGAGGATGCAAGAGAAGCTGATAATTCAGCTGGATTGGTGGAGTTGTATATCGTTTATCTGTGCAAAGAATCATTTTATAGATATTTTTAGCAAAATTGTTGGCTTCATTGAGAATGCAGCCCATCCATTTATTAGCAGTGGTGTTCACCTAAGTGTCCACTTAACAGCCTAATGGATTGCAGGTTCCTCATACAATTGCACACTTTTGAAAATGACATTTAACGAACAGTGGATACATTAAATAAAGAATATACATGCCTGGAAGAAGGTCTTGCTACTCCTTAAACATTGCTTTTGTGGTAAGGGCTCCCAGTGTCACTATTTAGAGCTTCGGAAAAGAAATCAATTTCTCATTTACATTTACCATAATAACTGAATCTTCCTCTGTTTCAGACATGCAAGGAAACATTTTAGTCAGGCAGAAGGAAGCCAGTTGGATGAAGTTCGACAAGTGATGGGGATGTTGGCCTTTCCTTCAGATACTCACATTTCACCTTATAAGGTACGGGTAGTCAAAACTGCATAGACCTAACCTGATGAAAACTGTGTCTTATACTTAGTGTTACCTGTGACATTCCAGGGATAAACAGTCAATGATCAGAAATCACTTCTGCTCTTCTGTTTATCTATGGTCTGACTGACACTAACAGAACCAATGTTTATTAATGAAAATACGTTTTTGCCATGTGACCTTGA